CAGGAAAGCAGGAAAAACGCCGCTGCCGCCACCCCGCCCTCTCACCTCCGACGTAATGATCAAGCAGCGGCGCAACAGCCCACCCGGCCCGCCCGCCCTATAGGCGCGAGAGAGGGTGGGGCACGCGCCACGGAGTTGAGCGAGAAAGGGGAGAGGGAGCGAGAGGAGGGGGAAGGAGCGGGAAAAGGGGTGGCACGGAAAAACGGGGGCCGGAGGACCACATGACACCCCCCCGTGCACACACACTTGTGCATACACACACCTGTGCACGCACGCGCGCACTTGTGCACACAGCCCTGTGCACACACCCCCAAGCACATCCCCGTGCAGAGCAATGCACCCAGGCCCGCACCTCCCCATAGCAGAGGGGGTGCAGCTCATAGCTGTGCGGGTGGGGTGGGGGTGGTGATTTTGTTACTTTAAGGATTATTCTTTGTGGGGGGGATGTGGCTTTTGGGGTGCTGTTGGGTGTGAGGGTGCAGGGAGAGGGGATGCAACTGGTCCCAGGCCTGCAGCAGTGCTGGAAGGGGCTGCCCGTGCCCTGCAGTGGCACAGAAGCAAAGCCACCAATTTTGCCCCCAGTGGGACAACTGACCTTGCATTCCCATGTCTCCCCATCACACAGGGTCCTGCAGCCTGTGCTGGTCACCTCATACAATGATTGTTGTGACCTTACTTTTGGCTGTGGTTCTGTGGCAGGTTCTTTTGGCCACCCCACACAGGAGATATGGAAATAGAGCTATAACAGAGCTCAGGGAAGGCAGGGACAGCAAATCCTGTCTGCAGCACATTGCCTGACTGCTTCTGCGCATGTGGGCTCTGCTGCAGTGGTGCGGAACACAAGCTAATGTTTCTGGGGATTTGGGAAATGCAAGTAGAATAGTCAACCTACCTGTGCAGGGATGGCTGTAGAGGTTAAAAACAAGATGGGATGTTGAAAGGGGGAACATGGGGGTTGTTTTCATTATAGAATTTTAACATAAAATCAGAGAATGGTTTGGGTTGGAAAGGACCTTAAGATCATCCAGTTCCAACCCCCTCCCATGGGCAGGGACACCTCACACTAGACCATGTCACCCAAGGCTCTGTCCAACCTGGCCTTGAACACTGCCAGGGATGGAGCATTCACCACTTCTCTGGGCAGCCAGTGCCAGTGCCTCACCACCCTCACAGTAAAGAACTTCTTCCCCATATCTAAGCTGAACTTCCCCTGTTTCAGTTTAAACCCATCACCCTTGTCTTACCGCTGCAGTCCCTGATGAAGAGTCCCTCTCCAGCATCCTTGTAGGTCTCCTTTAGATACTGGAAGACTGCTCTGAGGATTTCACACAGCATTCTCTTCTCCAGGATAAGCAGCCATAACTTCCTCAACCTGTCTTTATCGAGGAGCTGCTCCAGCCCCTGGTCATCCTTGTGGTCTCCTCTAAGGAGCTCCAGCAGCTCCATGTCCTTCTTATGTTGAGGACACCAGAACCACACATAGTGCTCCAAATGGGGTCTCACAAGAGCAGGACAGAAAGGGCAAGATCAACTCTTTCCACCTGCTGGTCATGCTTCTTTTGATGCAGCCAGCACACATGTGGTTTCTGAGCTGTGAGCTCACACTGAAGACAAACTCATGTTCAGTTTCTCATTGGCTGACACCCCCAAGTCCTTCCCCACAGGGCTGCTCTGAATCACTTCTCTGCCCAACCTGCCTGGGAACATGAACCAAAAAACATTGGATGAGGCTCATCCAGAAGCGCAGCACACTCTACCATGCTCCCAGCAGTCCATTTCTCTGTTCATGTGAATTTGCGCCTCCTTTGAAGGCAGGAGTTGTTTGGAATTTGGGAACTCCCTTCCTTTATTTCATTCCCAGCCTTTTCTACACAGCACTAAGTCAGATAAGATAGAGGAAGAAAAATCCTACAAACCAAAGCATGACATACCAAACATTTAAGCCAATGTCTTCCCCAGGGGGTGTTAATTCAGTTCATAGTTATTCCCAGGGGGGATGTGCCACCAATGCAGTGGTGGTAGCCCAGGAGACCTCACATTTGTTCCAACACTCACCAATGTTGTTCTTTGTCCAGCGGCACCACGTCTCTCCCTGTGTGGTACTCTGCTGATCAACATTTTGAACATGTTCTGTCTGCAAAGCCTGCAGGACAGGATGACTCAGCAAGCAAATAGGAGTGGAAAAAAAGGCTGAATTTTTGGGTATCAGTACACATTGTGCCATTTTTAGCCTTGCTGACAAAGAGCTTGGGGGCATCATGCTGCTAGGATGGTTAACTTTGTACATCCGTGTTATCATTTGTTATACATCCCATACAGACAGACTGAGAAAGTTGGGACTGTTCAGCCTGGAGAAGAGAAGCCTTCCAGTATCTGAAGGGGGCCTCCAGCTTCTCCAGAGGTGCTGGAGAGGGTCTCTTCATCAGGGACTGTAGCAAAAGGACAAGGGCAAGTAGGTTTAAACTGAAAAAAGGGGAAGTTCAGGTTAGATTTAAGGAAGAAGTTCTTTACTGTGAGGGTGGTGAGGCACTGGCACAGGCTGCCCAAGGAAGTGCTTAAGGACTCCATCCCAGGCAGTGTTCAAGGGCAGGCTGGACGGAGCCTTGGGCGACATGGCCTAGTGTGAGGCATCCCTGCCCATGGCAGGGGGTTGGAACTGGATGATCTTAAGGTCCTTTCCAACCCAAACCATTCTATGATTCTATGATCCCAGCTCCCTGCATCCCACACACCATCGGGCTCATCCCAGCCCTGCTCCATGATTAAAATTGCCCAAGAAGCTGCTGATCCCCCACCAAGGGGTACCCAGCCATGCTTCTATCAGCTAGACCTCTCCATGCTCCCCAAACACATGCCCCACTACCCCAGTACCCCAAAAATGGGGCAAGAAAGCCCTTCCACCCTCGATTTGCCCGGGTTTTTCCTCTGTGTGCAACAAGGTGTAAAGGCAATATGAAAAGCTTTTATGCAAATTAAGTAAAAAATCGTGTTCAAGAGTTTTGCAATTAGTGCTGTTGCTGTTGAAACCGAGATGATAAATACACTTAGATGAGGCAGGAGCAGCTGACCGGATAGCTTATGTCAGTAAGAGCTTCAAAGCTGGAGCCTTTCTTCTTTTCCTGGACCATCACAGCAGTTTTCCATCCTCCAGTCACAGAAACAAGTGTACTCTTGCTCCTGTTGATTCCGCAAGAGGAATGGTCCCACCAGCATGCTGCCAATAAGGAGGTAAGAGGGTCTTGTATCCTCCCTCTCAATAAATCCCACCACTGAAGGGCAGGGAGGCTCCCCCTTCCCTTGGGAGCAGGGCTGCCAGAGGCTTTGGGCTTCTCATGCTGCCTGGGGAGCAGCTGTCCAGTGCAACATGGCCTCCTCTCTGCTTGTAAAAACCATATCCAGAAAGATTTAATTGCAATCAACAGCTGTAAACAAAGGTAAGCCAACACCAAACCTACTTTTGAAATGCAGGAGACATAACACGCTAGAAAAGTTGCCTCTCAAGTTGTCCCCAGGCTATTTTTAAAGTTAACAGGTATCTACCCATTTTTTGATGCCTCCAGTCTCCTTCTGATAAGCAAATCCATTGTGTCTCCTTGCAGAAGAGTGGCCAGAAAAGAACACAAACACTCTGTCAGTCCATACCACTCGGATTAACTTGCATTAGGTTTCCTGCTGAGATTGCAAGTGGGTTGCTGCACTCTTCATTGCAATTGCAGGACTGCAGTTTAATAATCACTGTAATATTAAAGCACTGGCCTCCCCACACAGCACCTGCTCCTGACTGCCAGCAACCCCAATAAAATGTCAGTGTTTCAGCAGAAGCCTCTTGGGAAATGGGGTGTAAGGGAAGGGGGGGGGGGTGAAGCTCCTGCACTCCCCCAGACAGCTCTGAAACATGATAAATGCTCTTCTCCATTCTGGAAACAGCAAGGGGCATCAGAAGAAATGCTTCTCAGCCAGACCCACATGCACAAGGCACTGGCAATGCTCATCCTCTGCAGGCATAGGGGCTGCAGGAAGGCTGGCATCCAGGTGGGACCAGCAGCATCCCTCCTCCCTTGGGTAACTCCCAAGGGCAATGGGCTGGAACTGTGGCCCCCTGTGCTCCCATCTGTGCAAGTGGCACTTCCCAGTGGTTGCTATGCAAATGCTGGATGTTGCTATTGCAGATCAGTTCAGGGTCAGGTTTTGCCCAGTAACACCTGGATCAAAGAATATTTTTTTTCATACAGGCTAGTTATCGACAAGAATCACAGACTGGTTTCAAGGGACCTTAATACTCATCCAGTTCAAATCCCCTGTCACAGGCAGGGACACCTTCCACTAGATCAGGTTTCTCCAAGCCCCATCCAACCTGGCCTTGAAACACTTCTAGGGATAGGGCAGCCACAGTTTCTATGGGCAACCTGTGCCAGTGCCTCACCACCCTCAGAGGGAAGAACTGTCCTTAAAACAATATTAAAAATATACCTTTTCCCTCTGAGGGAAAGCAGTGGCATCAAGAGAATGGCACACTCACCCCTCTCTAACCTACCCCTGGAGCTCCAGGCACCTACACTGGGCAGAAACTGGCACTCTTCTACACAGCTCCAGCAACTGTTTTCATTTGACTAAATTCATTTAGGTGGCCCCATGCTTCAGCAAGCATTAATTACACCTCATTGTGCCTGGCTGCTGGACAGCAGAATTCAAGCAGTATTTCTTGAATTCTTCAAATCCAAGGGTTGTCCCACTGGAAGGGGCACGAGTATTCAACTTGTGCACCCCTGCTATAGCTTGGCCCCCAAAAGCAGCCCATTTGGGGTACAGCATGCAGAGCATGGCACACAAAGGAAGCATGTGCACTGATTTGGTTCTGCTCCACCCCGTCACTGATACCAAACCCTCTGACAAAGCCACACATAGAAGCTGAGTTCGTGACACTCATTTTTCTCCTTCAGGGAAACAAAAAGTCAAAAACCCATACATCGAGCAGACAGGCAAGAGATTACACAACCAGGTTATAAAACAAAGAATGATGAGATTTTATTCCAGTGCCCCCATCCATCCCTGCACGTGGAGCACATGCCTTTGTGCGAAAGCATTTTACAACTGCTTGAAGCAGATGTATTCAACAAGAGACTGCCCAGAAAGGCAACGGGTGAAGAACCATGATTCCAATGGCAATAACCATTTGTACCATGATCAGATTTGGAAAGGCTCAGCAGTGCTGCCTGCCCTTATTATTGCTGCTCCACACTCACAGGGCTCATGCTGGGAAGGGTTTTGCCAGTGCAAGCCCACCTGGGCTCTTAAGGCTTAACTGGTGAGGTTCAGTGCTACCATTTTCTGTATGTATGCAACACTGATTAAAACCTCCAAATGCACAATTACTCCATAGGTAACACAATGAAGAAACAATTCCACAGTCAGAACCACAGGGCAGCCTGGGTGGGGAAAAATAAAAAAAACACTTCTGAATGTACGAGATGTAGCATTTATTGCTACATCACCACCCTTGCTATGAAATAAAACCCTTTCTCCCTGTTCTGGCAGTGTCTTGTGAATGATAAAAGAAATCAGCAGTGATAACTGTTGGAAGAAAGCAGAGAGTACTGGGGCAGGGGGCAAAGGATCCCCAGGGAGCAGGGGCACAGAGGGTGGTCCCCTCACCATGTGAGCAGGAATGCCACAGGGCCAGGGCAGAGGTATTTTAAACACAGTTGTCAATGCCATCCTTTGATGGACAGGAGGAGACTCACTCCTCCAGATATCCAGGGGATAACAGGAAAGACAACCAGGAGCAGGGCTCCAAACAGCCACCCTCCCCAAGCCTGCAACTCTTAACAAAAAATAATATATATACATATATTATTGCCAGCAAAGAGTTTTAAGTCCCCGTTGCACCACAGATAAGGGGAATCCATTTGTTGGGCTTGATCTTGTTGTGGATGGAAGAAGCTTGTTTGTAGGTGAAGGGGAAGAGGCAAACCTGGGTATCTGGTGTCTGAGGTTGGAGGAAAAAAGTGCAGCAAAAAGGAGATACCAAAAGAAAAAAAAAAACAAAAGAAAAAAGAAAAAAAGCACTTAACAGGTTGGCTCTGAACACATCTCTTGAATGAAAATGATTGTCAAGAGAGTCATTAGTGAAAATAAGGTAAGAAAACTTGTTTGCTGTAAAGGTGCCTTTCTGCTCCTTTCACCACCAGAAAATTAACTCAATGTCCACCAAGCGTTTTCTGTTCACTTCAGGAATACTCTTTGGAAAGCCCAAGTTACATCACCCTAGTGCATGCCCCCAAGGATGCCGTCCACTTTGTGGGGTGAAGAGAAGACCCTGAGCCCAACATGGCTGCGTGGAGCATCACCACATTCATCCAGGGAGGTTGGACACAGGTCTCCCAAGGGGTCACCCCAAAATACAACCAGGCACTGGGTGTCTCCTGTGCCACATCCCCCCAATGATGCACTATCCAAAGCGGAACTTCAGCCGGTACTTGATGGGTCCAGGGGTTTTCCGAGGTGGGGATGGGGCAACCTTTGGTTTCGGTGGCGAGAGCTTTTTCTCCGGGAGAGTGACAGTGAAGGCGAGCTCAGGGAGTTGGGGCTGCCAGAAGCGGGGTAGGAAGTGTGTGGAGACATGCTGGGGCCGGGCACGGGGACTGCAGCCCCGCTTGGCTTTGCCACGCTTGTTGAGGGCCACATACCACTGTCGCCCTGAGTGTGGGCTGCGGTGCACGGCTGAGGCGTACGTGTTGTAGCTGTTCTCCTGGAAGCGCTCCCGAAACTGGCAATCCTCTGTGAACCGGGCCTGCAGGACAGAGCCAGGGCGCTATTAACAAAAGGATGGTCAGACCCGTCCCCTGCCCTGCAACATTCGCTGGGTGTTTCGGTCTTCCCCAAAACAGTCCCCTTTGGGGGACTTTGTGTTGAAAGCACCAACATGGGGCACTTGGGAAAATCGACTCCAAGTCCACTGGGCACCCAACAATTTGGAAACCCCCCAACACAGATACTTCTGGTAGCTGCTTACCACCCAGCTTTGGACTTTCTTGGAAAAAACAGCCTTGTCCTGCCCTAGCGGCACCCTTCCCTCCTGCTGCAGCTCTCCTCCTGCCCTACTCAACACAGGGAGGACGTGGCTCCAGACCCCTGGTGCTGCAGTCCCCTCGAGGACCCAAGGGCTGAGCCCCAGCTTCATCTCCATTCCCACCCTCACACCCCTCACTTGGTCACTGGATCATAACTGAACAGTCTAGAAATGCAATTTGCATGCAGATTGCCATTGCTTTACTGAACAGGGCTTTGATTGTATTGAATTTTCTTTTTCCCTCTTCATCTTAAATGAACTCAGGCTGTTTTGTCTCTTGATAACCTCAAGGAATTACTTGCAGCACAATAGTGCTGCCTCTTAAATTGGGCAGCTGCACTGGCTGCTGGACAACCAGGGGGAAAGATACCCCATTGCCCAAGACAACAGGCTGAATTCCGCCCTTGTGCTTGTCAAAGGGGAGGAATTAAAACAAAAAACACAACTAAACCAACCAAAAGTCACGCAGAAATACACAAATAGAGCCCTAACACCCCAGGTATGTACCCACAGACCCGGAACACCTGGCTGCAGGATCCAGCAACCCCTCTGACATCCTTTGCTATGCTTGAAGCCGATTGTGGGCATGGTACCTGTTGCCCTGACAGCTCCTCCAGCCCTTGACACCACAGCCTGACTGCAAAGCCACCCTTTGAAACTACTGATGGGAAAGGGATAATGAGCTCTCGAGCTTTGAAAAACTCGGCAATGGACAGCCCCAAACAGTGCTTTATAACCATGCAGACAGCCCAACTAGCTCAGATCATGTTTAAATGCCTAATTTAACCAGAAAATCATAGAATCATAATCCTACAATGAAAGTAGCAGAGTCCCCAGCCTGCCATGTGGGGTTTCTTCCTCATAGCACTTTGAAATAAGTCTCCTTTTGCTCTTTGCATGAAAGAAACATCACCCTGATGACTTTCACCCCGATGCTTTACCTGTCTGTTATCCTTGCTGCTGTATCACCCATGCAGGATTGTTTACCCTCTTGAGGTGAGGCTTTGCTGACCCCTTGTTGCTCTTTGATGTCCCAGTGCATGCTGTGGTGCTCAGGAGAGACACGCCCATGTCATCCCTTGCACAGGGAGGTTTTAAGATTGACCAAAGCATCAGTGAAACGGTGCTCAGTGCAAAAGGCCTGAAGCAAGCCCTTTGAACAGTGAGAAATGGCAAGAGAAGGCTTTTTTTGGTGCAGGAGATGAAGTTGGCTGCCCTGCCCCCTGCCCACAGCCAAGAATCTGATACCAACATGGGTTCCAGTGGGCTTTGCAAATGCTGCTGTGAGTAGGGTAAGATGCTTGTGCCCCTGCTCATCCATATCCCTGTACAGATGGGTAAGCTCACCACTGATTTACTCATGGGAAAGCCAAACTGGTGTTCCCAATCTGGCCCAGCATGTCTGGGGCAAAGCCTCCCTGCAAAAGGGAGATGGCAGTAAGAAGGCTCCCTAGCTCCCCAGACACAGCATTGCAGAAAAAATTCCTGCTGAAAGTGGTCTGGGGAAACTTCTTCAACAGGGACTGTAACAATAGGGCAAGAGGGAATGAGTTTAAACAGAAACAGGGTAAGTTCAGGTTAGATATAAGCAAAAAGTTCTTTAATGTCAGGGTGGTGAGGCACTGGCAGAGGTTGCCCAAAACGTGATAAATGCTCCATCCCTGACAGTGGTCAAGGCCAGGTTGGACAGAGCCTCGGGTGACATGGTCTAGTGTGAAGCATCCCTGCCCATGGCAGGGGGTTGAAACTGGATGATCTTAAGGTCTTTTCCAACCCAAACCACTCTATGCATTTAATGAGCTGCTCCCTAAGAGCTGGAGTAGCATCCCTTTCCAAAGGTGTGGAGGATCCCAGACCTGGGCACAGAGGGGTGCCAGACAGCAAACCACCTTGCAAACCACTCCGTGAAGCTCATCAGCTGCTCCTTCACCATCACCCTGGCAGCTTTCCATGAATCCCACCCTCCCAGCTCAGCAGCCACACCATTTCCACTGAGGAAAAGGCATTTTCCCCATTGTACTGGCTGCCCATTGGATTTGTTCTGTGGCAGCTCCAGAAACAATTACGAAGAGCAATCCTGAAGTCAAAACAATTTCAAAATCCAATTCAACAGCAATTAGCCCCAGAGAGCGCCAAAGCATTCCATCAACTCAGAACAACTCCTGAGAAAGGAAAATTACCCGAGACCCCAGCGGGCAAATCTGTCCTCTGGGGTTCATTACAAGACTGACACCAAACCCCCTCCTGCCCATCCCATGCCAAAAAAATACAAACAGGAAACCAAGGATTTATAAATGAGGAAAAAGCCATCTGTGCATGTAACTGATAATTGCCAAGATTACTGTCATTTTTGGGAGGAAGGAGGAAGGAGGAAGGAGGAAGGAGGAAGGAGGAAGGAGGAAGGAGGAAGGAGGAAGGAGGAAGGAGGAAGGAGGAAGGAGGAAGGAGGAAGGAGGAAGGAGGAAGGAGGAAGGAGGAAGGAGGAAGGAGGAAGGAGGAAGGAGGAAGGAGGAAGGAGGAAGGAGGAAGGAGGAAGGAGGAAGGAGGAAGGAGGAAGGAGGAAGGAGGAAGGAGGAAGGAGGAAGGAGGAAGGAGGAAGGAGGAAGGAGGAAGGAGGAAGGAGGAAGGAGGAAGGAGGAAGGAGGAAGGAGGAAGGAGGAAGGAGGAAGGAGGAAGGAGGAAGGACTGCCATGAAATGTGAAGCTGGGATAAATCCGGGCCCTGAGAGCCTGCTTTCCTGCAGGAATGACTTTTATCTGCAGTTCAGCACAAAGTCACTGGCATGACTCCCATATCAAAGCACTGCCCTGAGTGACGGGCACAGGACACACTTTGTACTGCTCAAAACTCATTAGGCCATGAAATAACTTTATCCTGTCAAAGCAGGAAAGAACAACAGATGCTGTGTTTGCGTTATCGGTGTTATTTAGCCCAGCAATCTTTAGACATTCGGGTCAAGTTTCTACAAATTTGTGGCTTTCATCCGAGCAGGGCATCGTGTGTCCTCACCCCGACCCACCTAATTGATGTCCCCCTCTGGCTTTGCCCTTTGTGTGCTGATAATTAACCATACACTGACAAGGTTTTATTTGATTTCTGACTGTGCCAGGGCATAAATCAAGGCTTCAGCTCAAATAAGGGGCCTATTGTACACCACATGGGAGGGAAGGTTCTGGAGGGTCCAGAGATCACTCTCTGTCCACTTCCCTCTCCTCTCCATCCTTCACCTTTCCACTGCTCCCCACTTGTTCTGCCTGTTTCCTACCCTATCTCCTTCCCTCATGCTTTCCTTCACCATTCCCCCTTTCCCCTAGATGCCCTTCGTGGTCCTACTTTTCTTCCTAAAGTAAGCAACCACATGCTTACCCTTTAAGCATTATTAGGTTTCAGGATCAACACTCCAATAAGACTCAAGGGAGAAAGAGGCAAGTTCATAAATCTCACATGAAGGCAAGCTGCAGGCTCAAGCAGCATAAGTACATCATGTAACTTACATACACTTCACGACCAGGAGGCTTGGCTTATAGCCACAGGGGAGGCAATTGGCTTTTCCCTCTTCCAGGCTGGGAATAAACTTGGGTGACAGGTTGTCAGAGATGCTGCCTTAAAAATGCCTTTCTTTGGGTGTTGCATTTACACATACACCTTTAAAGGGTGATGACTTTCACGTCAGCACAGTTGTCACTTTCATTTCTTTGAATGGTCTCAGGAACTAACAGCAAAAAATTAGGCAACAGCTTCTTGAATTTGAAAAAAAGTAAAATCAATTTACAGGATTGGTTCAACAGAAGCAGCATGTAAAAAGCACAATTACAGAAAAGCACAATTGCAGAAAACCCTAAACTTCAGGAAAACAGCCAGCAGAAACAAGAATTGATGGAAATTCTCTAATTTGTCTGCAGTTCTTCCACAAGGGCTGGATCTCACCTGCCTGAAATCCTGGGGATGTTTTTCCCCATGGGAGAACCCAGCTCAAACTCCAGAGTCACAGCCCCTTTCCCAGAAATGGGCACAGGCAGGCTCCTGGTGCCTCTCATGTCGCTCACCAGGAGACATTTGGCTGAAGCCATCTGCATGATCTGCTGCAGAAGGTGGTAAAAATATCCCAGCAACGCTCAAAGAACAAGTCCTTTTGATGCAAATACCCAACTGTAGGAAAGGAAAAAGTACTTCCCTTGGTTAGATGTAAATGCCAGTCAGGCTAAATGCAAAAGGGGCTCGGCACACCAGGATCACAGCGTGCACATGGAGGTGCCCCAAGGCCTTTAATAAACAACAGATACTGAGAAGCAGGGGGTTTACTTACACTTGCATGGAGTTTTCCTTTTTTTGACATCGCTAAAAATTTGTTGCTGAAAACTCCTCGTATTCCTACAATCCCCTGAGACACAGCAAATATTTCCAAAATACCTAGGATGACAGAAATCCCAAAATAAATCACAGTTCTTTTCACATCAGTGTGACAAAGAGAAAAAAAAAAAAAGTCAAAAAAACTCAGGCTCATAGGTTTGCGTTTCCTCTCCACAGGACTCTGCTCCACAGCGCTCCTGCTCTATCCTTCTGTCCCACAGACCTGCATCCACTGCGGGATGGCTACAGGGTGGTGGCTTGGTTATGCTTAGTTTTAAAAAGCTGCCTTTTAGAGGCCTAATTATGACTCTGCTGTGACAGAATTTCACTCCTGGGGAAATCTCTCTCAAGACTGGGAAAATTCCCTTGCTGCTGAGATCAGCCTTGCCCATCCTCCTCCCATGCATACCAGACTCTGGAAATCACAGTGTCATATACACCCTATCTGGGGCTAGAAGTACCAGTAATGGTTTCATAGGCCCCTCCTCGCAGTAGGACCTAGGCAGCGGGGTGCTGCACAGCCCAGCCACAAGAAAACAAGCTGTATTCCCCTCAATGGGATATTTTCCAAGTGGGACAGGGATCTGGTCCCTGGCTGGCATGACCTTTAACTCATCTTACAGCAGAGCTTCAATCTCCTGTTGAAGCCTCCTGTTCAGAAACAGCACCAATATGCTTCCCTTCCTCACACAGCGTGGTATCCTGCAGGCAGAGGGGGGTGGCAGCAGGGCTCAGGCATCCCCCCAGCACTCTGACCAGCCACATAAGCCACACAAGCCACACATTCCCAATGTGCCTTTCCCACCCTGGGAAAAAAAGTGTTGCTACCCTTGGGAGGGGGGTCTCCGTGGCCCAAGAAAGTATCTTACCCAGCCCCAGGAAGGGCCATGCTGATTAACATGCCAAGAGCAAACATGAAGCTGCCTTAAATCCCTGAGGCTGGGGGATCAGATCACCACTTCCCATGTTTATTTTAAGGAGGAAGCGCAGCTCCTGGCACCAAAGGCCTGGGGAACACTCGGGGGGGGGGGGGGGGGGGGGGGGGCTGCTGAGCCACCCCTCCTCACCCCACATGCCCCAGTGGGGCATGGAGTTGTGCAGTCCCACTGCAAAAGGCACGCACCCTCTGCGGCATGTTTTCTGTCCTCAAAGGCACCCCAAAACCTGATGGCCTTTGTGGGGGGAGGGAGACATACTCCTGGTTATTTGGGTCAAGCCCCACGGGGACAAAGGTGGGGTTTCCCTGCCAAAAGCTAATCTCCTCCCCATGGGGGATGGTTCCTTGGTGCAAGACCCCAACACAGCTCCCTCTGATACTGGCACATGCTCCAAAGTGTAGAGGTGATGCCACTCTCACCTTCCCAGGGAAAAATTTCAGGTTAAAGGGGAAGGAACTTCGCATAACCCAAGACCCTGCGAGACAGCTGTGGTGTCCAAGGCTATACATGTCGCCCTCTGCAGACGAGGGTGCAGGCAGCCCCTCCAAACTCGTCTTCCAAAACAGCCCCAGCGGGGATGCTCCCGTTTTCAAACCCATCCCCTAACCCTCTTCCAGCCACCATCAACATCACTCCTCAAAACTCCAAGCAGGATTTCTGGTCTCCCAGCACCCCTTCATGGGGCCATGGCACAGATTAAAGCCTGAATTATTTGGTCCTGGCCAGATGTGGCCATTGCTCCCTGACTGCCTGATAGCCAGAGCCACGTGTGCTGCCAGGGTCACCTCAGGCTTTTTAAGTGATTTTTCATCCCCGCCTGCCATTTTATTCCCTCTAACAGGATATCACAGCAACCCTGACCCAAAGGATAAGCCATGAGTTAGCACAGCTTTCTCTCAGAGGAACGTCAGCCGCAGTCCTATTTTTAAACTAAATATATCCTATCACTGTGCTGGAAGAATGAGAACGCAGAGGGAAGGATAGAAAAGTTATATGAGAGGAAAGACTGGAAAGGGGGGGCGATGGAGAGCCCAGTGCAGCATCCTCCCCCTCTATACCCCAGTGAGGTGCTATGGTAGGAGTACAAACCTCACACCTTCACACCAATCCCCATGGAATTGCTTCCTCAATGCAGATGAAGCCCACCGGGTGGCAATTCCCAAAGCAAGGAGTGCATAGCTCACTTTACTCCTGGGGGCAGCATCCCACTTGAATCTGCGGAATACAGCACCCCACCCCTAGCCTCCCGGAACAGCCAGCATCCCAAGCTCCCCTTTCCCAGGTGAATTTGGGGTGCAGCCCGGGCTGCAGCTCACCCTAGGCAAAGGTAGCAGGGACCTAGGGGTTCCATCTTCCCAGAGGGAGCTCCTCAGGGATGGCGATGCTGTAGCCCCAGGGTTCCCCGATATCCCCCGACCCCGCACCCCGCGGCCGGTGTTTTCCAATAGTGCACTCACTGAGCGGACTTGCGTCGTGGGCTCCGTCCACCAGTCCATCGGGATGTAGCTGGAGGTGGAAGCCGATGCCCACCCGGCAATACAACCGGCCCCGCCGCCGCCCGGGGCGGCTCCGTGGGAAGCGGCTCTGACCCGCTGCGGCTGTCGCCGAGGAAGAAGAAAAGGAAAAAGATGAAGGCGCGGGGGCGCCCGGCTGAGCCCCACCGGGTACCCGCTCCCGCCGGGCACAGGCGGGCAGGGCGAGGAGGAGGAGGAAAAGGAAGTGGAAGGACGGGCTCATGATGCTGGTGGGAGGGCGCCGCGAAGCATCCCGCTCCGCCGCCGAGCCCCGGTGAGGGGACTGGGCACGGGGAGGGCCGGGACGCCCCTCGCCGCGGAAGGGGTATTTATAAGCGGGCGGCGGCCCCGCACCTGTGTCCGGCCCCAGCCGCGCCGAGACACCCCCCCACCCTCCCTCCCCCGCGGCAGATGCTGGGGCTCGGGGCGCATAAATCTGGGGAATTAAGTTGTCCGTCCCGCCGAGACGGAGGCGCCGGAGGCTCGCCTCGGGTTACCGCCGAGAAATACCGTGTCAGCGGCTGCACAGCGGCCGGGCAGCGGGGCTCGGTAGAGCCCCCGGGACCGAGAAGGGATTGGATTGCACCCCCCTCGGCCGGGGGTGCAGGGGATGACAGGCGGCAGCTGCACAGCACAGCCCCGGGCAAGGGGAGCAGATCTGGGGCTGCAGGCAGCACCCCGAGTGCAAAAACCCCCATGTGGTGGCTTCTCCAAGAGCAGCCCTTTGGGTTCATGGGGGGCTGTCAGCACTGCCACCTCCAAAGCTCCCCCTGACAACACCTGAAGGCATTCAGGGAAGTAGTGAGCCTTGTCTGCTCACGGTATCCCACCCCCCCCCACCCCCATTCCCAGGCAGGGAGGATCACAGCCCCTTGGCTTCCTACCGCCAGCATGGTAACCCCGACACGTGCCCACTGCCCTGCCAACACCAGCAGCCGTATTTCTTCCCGATTACAAAGACAACTGCCACACAACACCACGCACAGGGGAAGACCCTGTGGCGACAGCCTATCCATCACCCTAGCACAGCACCAAGCACACTCCTCTTTTTCCAGCTCTTGAGGCTGCTTGAGGCTCCCTGCCATCTCCTGAACGCACCTCTACAAAAGCCAAGACTGGGCAAACTCGCCCTGCCCAGCATTTACCCAAACTCAGCACTCACATGCCCTTATTTCTATTGTAAACCTGGTTCCCCACCCCCACCCTCAATACCCAGAAAACGCTCTGCAGCCAGGCTGTACCCAGGGATCAGGTTCAGCAGGAAGGAGGCAAAGTGGTGGCATGCCGCAAGGTGACCATTGCCCTGGGAGGAAGCTGAAAGTCAGGGGCACAGGCAGGGACACACACTGGAGGGGCTGTATCCATCCCGAGTGACACCTGCCACACTGTGTTGTGAACAGAAATGATCACACATCAACGTTACTGTAATTTCAAGCTATTTATCAGCACATACATACACACACATTTATATATAAATGTGTATATATAGACAGCCCTATAGATAGTTACACATACCTGAAAGAGGGTCAGGGCACTCGAAAGCTTGTTTACTCCTTCCAGCTGTAGTGCTTGGCCTGGTAAAATGTGTGAATTCCACTTACCCACCTTATCTTGTTTATTTAATTGCATACCCAAGCTGGCTCTAAATCCAGATCCAGGAGCCAGGCACAGACCTAAAGAGGTTATGAACCCCTCATGATGTTTGCACCAGATCTTGTGTATCAGCACAGCCAAGGCACAGCAACCTCCCCTTGAGGAGGATTTCCCTTTTTGCATCTTGCTTTAAAAGCTGCAGCTACCAAAGTATCAGCCCCTGTGAAATCTCTGTTCTCCATCCAGGTCAAGGAGACTATAAACTATTCCTGCTACTGGAAGTTAAGGTGAATGTAAAAAGGTTTAAACCCTTTATCAGGGAGTGATTGGACACAAGAGCAGCTCCTGTGCCCCCATAGAGCAGCCAGCCATGCTGCCAAAGAAAGCAGTCACACAAGATATTAATTATTCTTATAGGACATGGCATATTTTCATCTTCACACTGAAACCCTAAGAAACTGAACTCCCAAGCTGGCATGAACTGTACTGCCTTGGGTTGTTTTCATTTGAATCTGTTCATTAATGCAACACATGAATTTCAAAGAGTCTAAGTGTCCATGTAACATAACTCAGTAAGAAAAAAAAAAGATAAGCTTAAATCTAAATAAGTAGATCTAATAGTCAACTTCCTGGAATAATCCCATGTAATTGCCCTTGGCAGCAGCAGCCCTTACACACACACACACACACACACACACACACCAGCAGCTTGTAAAGCCTAATGCTGATGTTATGTTAACTGAATTATTCAAGGCTTTGTGACAGACAAAACGGAGAGGGTGAGTTGGATTTCAAGTGTAAGGTTCCTTGTTTGAAGAGAAGGGGTCTTCTGAGTCTATTTGATCTGCTGAATAACACGGGGCCATGCTTCACATGGCAGGAACGTGTCCCCTTCCAAACATGAGCCCATTCCTATTAAAGTGCTCCTTAAGAATATGTGACAAGACATGAAGCAAGCCAGAGAAGTGAGCCAATTTGTGAAGCCCTAGCTCTACCAGAGCTGGCACATGCTCCACCAGCCCTGTGTTTATAGGAAGCACCACTGGATCCCATGGGATGCATGTGTATGGGTATGATGGACCCAAGCCAAGCTATGAGAGGCTGGCAGCAGCACCCTACCAGACAACCTCGGAAGGAAAGCATGCCAGGCTTCCAGCATCACTTTTTGTTCCACTCACAGAACGAGTTATTTCACAGTATACCGTACGCTAGAGTCAATCTCTCAGGGGACTGAGGAGCAACACTGTACCCCTGTACTTATGCAGGCACTAAGTGCCCAGGATCAGCTGCTCCCTAGGATAACACACATCACAGCACCCCAGGAGGTTGGAAAAAAATGCTTTCTGACAAGGATTTATGGCCTGAAGAAGACTCAATGTGCAGAAAGATGCCCTGCAAGGATGGCCCTCTGGGAAGCATCCTCCCTCCTGTGGAAGGTGCAAGCCTTAGAGAAGGAAGTCTGTGCAAAGCTGAAAGCGGACTATGTTACCATATACATATATATATATATATATATATACACACACAGGTGTTAAACTACATTTATTTAATTAAGATAACTCAGGAGCCATGGGAAGCTCAAGTGCTGCCAGGTGACATGCACCCCCTCCCCATGAGGTCTCTTAGAAGCCATTTCACGGCTGGAAAACACCAGCCTAACACCTGTGCTGCTCCTTTACTTTCCTCTAAGAAAGCGCAAGGCTAAGCCAAGGCCCCCAGATGCTTCACTGAAGAGGTGCTGAGCACAGCTTCCCTGCAGCACCCTGCCAGCACCACATTCCCACTACAGGGGTGACATACCCTACTGTGCTTCTGCAAGCAGGGGCTGGCAGCAGCCTTGCAGAACAAAACCAAATAGCTGCTGCTAATGATTAAGCACCACCTTCAACAACAGGCCTGCACTTACTCAGTCCTACCATTAACACAAGACCCTTATTTTCCAGCATTTTGCAGGACAGTGCTGTATTCAACAGAAATCCCTCCCATGCATTTTTCTTTTTGTGTGCATTTTTTTAGACTCACCATCAATATCTTCTACACTGGGTACGACCTTCTACCCCTCCAAATAAAACTTTAGCAGCAGGATCTAGTTTTAGGTCCAAAGCAGAGAATAAATACTGAATAGAATTTTAGAATCCCAGACTCTTTGAACTGGAAGGGACTTTAAAGCTCATCCAGTTCCAACGCCCTGCCACAGGCAGCGATACCTTTCACTAGACCATACTGCTCCAAGCCCCATCCAACCTGGCCTTGAACACTGCCAGGGATGGGGCAGCCACAGCTTCTCTGGGCAATCTGTGCCAGGGCCTCACCACCCTCACAGGGAATGCTTTCTTCCCTGCATCTCTCTAAGCTCATTGTTTTCAAAACAAACAACCTATTTCAGTCCTTTCTTAGCTATCCACAGCTGAATAATTCACTTTGCAGAGCTAGGTATTAGAATGAAATATTAATAGCTGGTTTGGTTTTGGTGGTTTGTTTTGGTTTTGTTGGTGGTGGGGTTTTTTGTTTGTTTTGGGGATTTTTTTGGGTTGTTGTTGTTTGGTGGGTTTGGGTTTTTTTTTCAGTTTTAGCAGTCTGCCCAACGGCAGGTTAACTACTAATACACACTTTGAAAAGAGGGGCCCAGCCTCTTCAGGAACAACCCCAGGAAATGGTGTCCCTGACCAGGCACCAGCTTTCCATTCCTGCATCATGCTGCTTGGTATCTTCATGCTCAGCTAAAAACTCATCTGAGAGATTTTTGGGCAACCTCTGTAGGCTGCAGTGCAGCTGGAAGGGGGCTGACCCCGACCTCAATATCAAAATGCAGTGAAAGCAGCTCTGCTCTGCCTGTGTCCGTGCAGCCAGGGGTTCAGTCACCTGTGTCTGACCCCACAGGTGCTATGCCACAGCTATTCCAGACTCCCACTAGTTTTGGCAGGGGCAGAATCAGGCCCTGGGGCAGGCAGCTGCTTTTGGCTTTAGGCTGCAGGTTCAGGAGCTGTGGGGCTGCTGCTTGCTGCTGCTTGCATTAACACCAGACAAAACAACCCAAACCACAGTTTTGCCCATGCCCATCAGTGACACAGAATACACACAATTCAGAGCAGCTTTCAAATAGTACTGCAGACACAAGCCTGCCCACTGCACCCTAGTAACAGCGCTAATACGTCAATTTGTTAGAATTACCTCTATTTGCAGCATGCCTGGCCACAGAGCAGTCTTACCTTGAGCACTGCAGGCAGCAGGAACTGTGCTCCCCTGACAGCACTGGGGCAGGCTGAGGCCAAAGGCTGCCCTTCCTCACTCCTCAGGTGCCTCACTTCTCTGCAGCACATTGAAGACACACCTTGCAGGGTGGGTTTTGTAGCCACATGCACCAGTGTTCTGGTGCGGGCTCACAGGTGCAGCTCTGTCCTTAAAGAAATGCCTGGACTGTGCCTTGGTGCTGTCTTTTCTGGCCTGTGTTGCTTGGACAGAATCCCGTGCCAAAGAAACCCGGCTGGTGCTGCAGCCCAGCTGGCCCCTGCACTGTACAGAGGTGCAGCACAGCATCAGCCCACAGTCAGGAATAAAAAGCAGTAGTGAGATTCCCTTCCTTCTTATCCCACATGCAGCACTGCTGTTAATATAAGAGAGTAGGGTTTGGACAGTGGTACTCACTCTGATCCCAGGGAAA